TCTCTCCTCTGGGTTCTGGCTCAGTGTCTGTGTTTAAAGCAACTCGTTTGAGTTTTTCATCTGTTCCTTGTTGCTCTCCTGAGAGTGATCTCCCACCTTGTCTCTCTCTAATTAAACCTTTTCTCCCCTGTCTTGGGAGCTCCCCTTCCTCAGACCCACATGTTGTTTTCTTCCACTGTCTGTTGCCAAAGGAAGCTCCTTTTAGTGGTTAAAACCAATTATCAGGCTGGCTAAACTGTTCCTTACAGCCTGTTTTGCTGCCAAACACTCGATTGTAGTCAATGTAGGTCAGGTCTTGCGGCACCTCTTAGCTTGCCACAGGAGTTCCAATGCTATTACGCTTTGCCTTAGCCAAAAGGGCCAAGAACCAACTCTACCCCTTATTCCTGGCTCATCTCCCTCTTCAGTCCCGTAATTCCTAGGTATACTGGGCAGAACCAGAGTTGGCCAAACCGAAGCCTTGTCTTTTAAAGTCTCCCTTGTCACACACAGGGAGGTGGAATGTGCAGCGTACAGCACAAAGCCTCTCAGCTCCATTCCTGGCTTCTCTGCTGACCCGTTATGCGACCTTGAGCAAACATATTTAAATTTAGCGGTCATTTCAAATCACTTTTGCCACTTTTGTGCCAAGTGTAACTCATCTATAAAACTAATATTATAACTAACATTTTCAAAGGAGTTTAAGAAACTTAATGCAAATATTGCACTGTAAGTGTTAGTTTCAGGCTAATGTCAATGGACTACTTTGCAATTACCAACTTCAAACATTATTCTATTATTATTTATTCTTCATGCAAAATGTCAGGAATTGGCATTCTCCTTATCCAGTAAGCATTAATCTTTTATAGTGAACTTATCTATGAGGTGCTCAGAAGTACTAAAACATGTAGAAGTATTCTTTCTCATAAGATGTGTACCTCCCTCAACTGGAAAGAAAAAAAAAGTTAAAAGATCTCAAGACCAACATGCAAATATTGAAACAAACAAACTTCTAAAAATAGCTTCATTTAGACTAATTAACATTTATTGATCTTTTGATTTTATTGATTTTTATTTTTTTTTGCTTAAAAATAGGGTTAAATTATAAGTCCCTTTGCGACACATTCTGCCACTCTTATTCAGACTGAACAGGGCCTTACAAGGGAAAAGCAAGTAATATTCCTGAGTGTCTCTGTGGTCAGGTTTCTAAACACTATTATGCATGTCGGTAGACTGTCCACATTAGCTACTTCTGCTTACTTCAAGCAGCCAGCCTTAGGGACTTGGAGCTCTTCCTTTGAAGGTACCTACTTCTCTCCACTGCATATGCGAGTGTGGTGTCCTACCTTTGAACCCTCGCATTGCACCTAGGATGGGTGTCTAAATCAGTACAAATATATCTAATATGGTGAGTCATTATCTATGCTAAAATGATTTTTCAGTCATTCTGAAAAAATCAAATTAACTGAGTTCCAAGCAAACATGCCTTTACCAAAGGGTTATTTCATTGCTGGATTAATATCTATACTGCTTATTAAGTGACCTTCCTTCAGTTCAGATGAAGAAAGTCTGGAAGGTTTTGACTGAGATCAAAAATTTAAACAGAGGTTTTGACAAAGTGCCCAGCAAATAAACAAGTGAAAAGGAAAGCCCAGGCCTTTGGAGACTGAAACTGGGAAAAAATGCCTCCAGTGGGTGACACTCTTGTATCTAAGTGTGTGTGTGCTAAATTTAGGGCTAGAATTTTCTGTTACTAGAAATTATGGAACATAAAAGAAGGAATTAAGCAGCATATGATGCAGGAGGAACTTTTGGAGTCTCCACTTATTTAAAAATGTTCTGATAGGAGTAATTAAGTATAAAAAGCAGAGAGATAACATTTCAAATTTTTTTCTACCAAAGAAAGCAGGGAAATCCAGCAGGACATACATAGATATGGCATTTATTAGTGATGCCTACTTCTCTGTTTATTTTTAATGGCTGCTGGTTCTCACAGGGCAGGGACTCAGGTGTACAGGAAATGTGATTGTGAAAAGCACAGTAAAAAAGGTGAGATGATCACAGACTACATTATTCAACCATGGCAAAGTTATTCCATTGTGAATAAGCAAATTGGTATTTCACTTCCTTGTGGTATACTGTACTGTGGTGTGGCACCATCTAAAATCAAGTTTCTGTTCTATATGTTCTGCTCATACTACAGAAAAATCGCCTTTGCTTAAAAACAGAACTCATGTATGTTTTTCCTGCAGTTCTGCCATTTATGAATGCAAAAGGAGCTTGTCAGAATCTTTTTTTCTAATGTACAACATATGAAACATATAATATTTGCTCAGTGAACTGCCTGGTGCAGAAGTTAGTGACAATAACATGATGATAACTGCCTCAGCTAACCAGTTGCAGCATTAGCACTAGACAGATACCTTCTCCTTATGTCTCCTTTCGCAAGATCCTAGACTGTTAGGAATATTTTGGCATTGTCCATGGGGTAGGAAAAGGACAAATTTAAGTATTAAAAGAAAGACACTGTTTCCTGATAGCACCAACTTGCACCTACTTGATAGACAGCCAATGTTCCTTTGTTCATGTAAGCGTTGTAGACAGAGGCATAAATTATGTTTGGAAATCTCTTTTTTTTCAATTGGAACCATTAGTGCAGTAAAATGCCACTAAGCTATGCTTTTAGAAAAAATAACTTTCTCATTATCTTTAACAGCAAAATTTATTTTGAATCTGTTATATGCATGAAATGACCCAGGTATTACAGTGGTGAATGCCATAGAAAAACCTTTCCCATGAGACATAAAATAAAAAATTGAGTTACATAGCAAAGCTAGTGTATACCATAGCACATTTGGTTAGAATCTGGTTTTGTGAATGGGCAAAATGCTGCCTTTCAACTTTTTTTGTGTCACAAATACTGGAATAGAAATAAAGCAATTTGTTTTAATTTCCCTTTAGTTGTATTAGTGCAGCATCAGGTTTTAATAGATGCTCACTTGATCGGACACCCACTGTATCCTATACTCTGTGGCACTTTCAGACATAAAGCAGACAATGCTGGCATTGGGAATTCATGAAAATACGAAAATAGTCAATCATTCAAATATAAAGGCTTTGTCAGGAGCTGCAAGACTTTCGATTCAATGTTTAACAAGTAAATATTTTTGCCTGACACATATTGCCTAGCCCAGAGGGCAGCCCACTGTGCTTGGCGCTACGGAAGAAAGCGTCCTTGCGCCAAATTGCGAGACAAAAATACTTCAGACCATTCTAGACTATGAAAAGTCAACAGAGTGGTGGTAGCCTCCTCGCCGCAGTCTGGTTTGAGGAGGTCAGCACAATCTGGAATAGTACTTAGCTCTCAGGTGTAGGTATAATCATACGCCTGCTGCCTGGAGCTGGGTAGGCACCTTGCTGGAACCAGGCTGCCACACTGCTGCCCCTCGAACTTCAAAAGAGGTCCTTTTTTCTTCTCTGGGTACCAGAAACATTGGCTTTATTTCTTTTTTTCCATTTAAACCACTGTCAGTATGTACAGAATAAACAGAAATTTGCTACTAATGTTTTTGCTAATAAAGTTTTGCAATTCTTTATGTACCACAAGGCATTCAAATGTTAAAAGATATTACCAGTATGTTTCATGTTTTGTGAAATCAAGGTGTTGAGTTTTTCTGCAAGTAATAAAAGGCTGTGTTGATTTTGACATTTCTTTCTAAACACCTGTATGGACTTCGTCCAATGCATATTATGGAAGTTTTAATTTATGTTCCTTGTTGCTAATCCGGAAAGGAAAACTTCTCCATTGTTCCTTTTCTCAGTCACAAATGTACAGGTTTAGAAAACAAAGAACGCACTCTTTCATTTTGATATTGTGCTGATGTTATAACATGGCAAGATTGTCTGTTATTTTACTGATGAAGTACCTTCATGAAAAAAATGGAACTGCATACGTACATAGAGTCTGCTGTAGTAAAAAAGTGTCCTTGCTGTTGAAGACCAATAGCAAAAAAAAAATATGTGCCTAGGAAATGCACTGGAACACACTTCCCTGTGATTTCCACTACATAGAAAAAGAGGATTAGACTTGCTTCAAGGGACTTTGACTCCCAGATAAATTCTGAGTTCTTTGATGTCACAGAAAATACCAAGGTAGGAGGTCTTTCTAAAAGATCAAATAAAATCCCATTGGACTGTGAACTGTGAGTGAGCAAAGGTTTTTAGATGCACTTCTAACCTGTTTCTAACTTTTACCATGAATATATAGTAGGGTTCGGAAACAATCTGTTGTAAATTCTTCAGCCAATTAGCTGAGTGAGTTACCACCGTTTATAATGCGCAGAACGTGGAGGCTCTTTGCAGTTGCGCCGAGTTGGATTGTTAATAACAGGAAGCTAGCACTTCTCAGTACAGTGGATCAGCTACATGTGAAAATAAATGTAAAAAACCTGGAGGGGAATGGCTGCAGACTGAGATTAGCCTTTATTTAATTTAGCATTTGGGGGTCCAACACACAAATGAGCGTTTTAGTAGGCTTCATGGTGGAAGTTGCTGTCATTTGTAAAATATTCTGGCCAATTAGCTAATAGTGTGCTTGGATTTCTCCTGTTTTGATACAGTAATACTAAGTACATTGTGAAGCCCAATTATACAAATCATCCCCATATGCCATACCAGTCTTTCTTTATGAACTGTGTTTATAAATCCTGTGTGAGGAAATGTGTACTTCAGCAATTTAGACCATGTGTAAAAACATAGCCAATAGGATTGTCAAGAAAACAAGTTCCAGCATAGGAAATCCTAATGTGTTCCGCTAAAATAACACGAGTGTGTTGTGTTGTGTGAGTTTTCTGATTAAATACATATTACTTTATAGTGCTTAACCTGCATAGGTCCTTCCGTTTCCCTTTTTATTCTTTCTTTCTCTCTCTCTTTTTTTTGTAGGATCCAAATTTGGAGTTTTTGAGGAAATTTGGAATTGGGCTAGTCTCAGGAACAATAGCCTCAATTATTAACATTCCTTTTGATGTTGCAAAAAGTAGGATTCAAGGACCACAGCCAGTTCCCGGAGAGATCAAGTACAGAACCTGTTTTAAAACTATGGCAACAGTCTATAAAGAGGAAGGGTAAAACATTCTTATTTTAATAAATGTCCAGACCTCTGTTTTAGTTCATATGGGTCCATAAAACCATGTTGTTATATTTCAGATTTGACGAGGACCATTAAGCCACCCTCAACTTAGGTATCAAAAGAGCACAACGTAACATTTTGAAAATGTGTTTAAGAATTACCAGGAGATAGCCTCCTACCCCGTGTGAACTTTTACAAGACTTGCAAGATTATTATTGGGTTGTCAAAATTTATGTACCACAAAAAAATGCTTCGTATATCTCGTGTGTAATTTTTTTCAACTCTTCATTTTGTAAAAGGAAAATATCAACGGAAAACAGAATATTTCCCAATTTAATCTAATTCTAATTCTACAGACCTCTGTACCTTTAAAATGACTGCTGAAATAATTAAATTGGGGACAGATCCTTGTGGCAATAACGTTTTCCAACTTTTAAAAATATTTCTCAAGTGGAGACTGAGTTGTAGCTTTGATATTCAATTATAGCAGTCATTTCGTCCATGTATGCAGCTGTTGTTAACAGACTTGTCTTGAAAGTAAAACCATCTCACTGATTAAAGTCATATTTCTGATTGGCTAGGCTCACAACGTAGCTTTTGTGACTGAACATTGATTAACTTTTTCTCTTCATCTGATCTGCCTCTGTAAAATGTTAAAATCCAGATACGGCCTGCTATTGAACATGTGTAATTTCAAATAATTGCTTCTAAGTGCTCTGCCAGCATTTTAACAAACACATGCTAAAATTCCATTCTTCTTTTAGAGCAAGAATATTGTTTGAAATGTTTTGTTTGTTTTTTCTTCTGCTGCAGATTTCTGGCTCTGTACAAAGGCTTGGTTCCCAAGATCATGAGGCTTGGTCCAGGTAATTTTCCCTCTGTCATTTCTATATTGCTTTTGTTCTTGCTTTCTCTTCCTGTTTTTCAGTTTCTTGACAGAATGTAGTAAGCATCAGTCAAATAAATGAAACAGTGTACCAGAAATCATCAAAATCTCTTTCATCTTTGAATGATTTCTTTTGATAATAGCATCATCTAATAGTATCATAGATGGATTTATCTAAATATGCGTCTAAAAAAATCATTTACACGTACATATCAGATGATTGCAGATCCAAATAACTGCTGGTTTCTGCAGTTACTTTATTTGTGAACAAGCCAAATGCAACCTTGCAAATGCCAGAACTGTAAAACCTTTGGAAGTGTTTCTTAAAGCTTGTCCTATTCTTTCTAACGTGATTTTTTCAGTTTCACTATGACTATTCTGTACCGATGTAAAGTCACCTTAAAAGGCAGGTTAGAGTCTCTCCAGTATAAATGCTCTCAACTAGTCGAGACATAGCCCAAGCATGTCAAATTCCAGTTACTTTCTTCTCCTGTGCTGTGCAGGGGCTGTAAAGAACAGACCCTAAAAGGCCGATAGCACGAGCTGGGAAGAGACTTGTGTGACCCTAGAAGTCTAAAAGGATAAGGATAGCTTAAAACTGGGTTTGTTGATTGACCCCTTCTCACTAGTTGATACTCCAAATGCAGGAGCACAGTGGTCGAGAGCTAGATCTTCTCCGATCTTTTAGACTGACAATTTTTCCCTGACTGGTTTTGATTAATCATGAAAGCAGAGCGCTGGGCCCCTAGATTTTGCCAGCCCACAGAGGCAGTCTGTGTCAAAAAGAGCAGAAGCCCCAATTTGAACAGTATCCCATTCCCGTGAAATTGTATTTCCAATTGTGCAAGGTGGTTTAATAGGCAAGAACACGCATGGTTAAAAGCAAGTAGGTACAGTCTGTTCTGCAGTATAAAGGAGGCATTAGGTTTGTCTGTAAATGTTTGCATATCCAATGCGTCTGGCTAAGTGCTAGGCCATGCCTGGTTATTGTGCAGGGTAAAGGAAGAAGGTGGGGAGGGGAAACAGGGCAGCTAGGCATACCTCTGGAGCTAAAAGCCTTTTCTCTCATACTCCAAAGATACCAGATTACATACCGGACAAAGAGAAGGCAGGGTTTCGTTTTCCCGGTACCCGTTAGCACAGCAGATTTTGGAATAAAATTTTCTGTCTTACAAATGACTATGCGTTCTGGCCCAGATCCAGCAAGTCAGTTAAGTGTGCACTTTGCTTTAAACATTTTTGTAGTCCTGTTGACTAATATACAGATTTGGCTTTCCGATGAAACAATAATGCAATCTTTATTGTGACTGGAAAGGTAATTCCTTCTTTCAACATGTGAATGCTTTCAGGGAAACACACAGAACTGGAATCAGCCTCGATTTGGGTTCACATCACATCTTAGACATTGTGTCTATGATTTGTTTGTTGGTCAAAGCCTTTTGCAAACTTTTCCTCTGTCTAGCTGTCTGTGAGTTGCTGTTCGTAGAGGGTTTCAAGTCTGATGATGGTTCGTTAGGATAAATAACATGGGAAAATTCATGTGGTAGTTCTGTGTGCCTGCTTGTCTGAGCCTATCCCACCTACCTAGAAAGGCCAGCAGAAGACGTGTTTGTTAGAGATGCCACTCCGACCCACTAACTGAGCCAAGAGGCAAAGGCAAAGGCAAGAAAATATTTGTGATATTTGTGCCCCAGTGCTGACACCCACAAGTAGCACATTGTAATGCGCTTTTACTCCTGCAGCCTGGAATCTGATTCTCTTTCCCCATCTTCTCCAACTAGAAGCTGCTCTGTATGCTTAATATATGCACCTTCTGAAATGTTCCCTTCTTCTGCTCGTACAGTAATTACAGCCTGCTTACAGAAGGGCTTTAGCCTGGCTTCACTAGCAGTAAAGATACTTTATGACATTCAAGCTGGGTTTTCATACTGTTACCCGTTCTAGCAGATAATGCCATTTCATCAGATCAAAACTTTGCCTGTGGATTCAAAGCCAGGCAGAGGAAGATTATACTCATTTTAATACTGTGATCTTCTGCTTTAGACATGGTAAACAAACAGCTGAAAACCTTTCTTGAATCTTACCTGGAAGCATTTTCATCACCCTGGTGATGAATTGTTGTCATTCCAACATTCAAGTTGCTCTTTCATGGCCAAATCTAACTCTAAACAAACACACAAATATACACATATTCAGATTAAAAGCTTCACTTCACCTCATACAAAGAAAAATATTAATCTAGAAAAAATGTTAGGAAAAATCACACTGAGGGTGATTGATTTCATATACAAGCTTTTCACATCAGCTTTATGGTCTAATATTAAGTCAAATCAGTATGGTTTAAGAACTGGTGAATTTTTAATGAATTAGGGAATTAGTAGAATTATCCATTTTGCAAATAAGGCTTTGCCATATCCTGGTTTAGATTACACAGTACAAATGCCCTACAAAATCTTGAAAACACTGAATTTTGTATGTAGTAAAATAATATCTTTTCTTCCAGGTGGTGCAGTGATGCTTTTGGTTTACGAATACGTTTACGCATGGCTTCAGGACACAGCTGATCACAAGCAGCACTTCTGAAAAATGTACTCTTTAAAATTATATGCATTCTAAAATACACTTTAATAAAGTAAAAGTGTTTCACATTTTTTATGGTGTTGAATGGCCTCAGATTACACTGACATTAATACAGTTCAAAACAAGTTTGGTCTTCAGGTCCTGATCCAAGAAAACATTTAAACACGTGCTTTTCTGTAAGTGCGTAAGTAAAGAGCACAGGTGATACTTCTAATTGTTTTACTGGATCAAGAGAAAATATAAAGAAGACATAGGAACCAGGTAGTTTTTCAAGGAAAAACTGAAAATTCTGGACACTGAATTATACTATGTAGTCCATACACTTTTAAAAAAAATCAGCTGAAATAGCAAGATAATAACTTTCAGGGGATTTTGAAGGAAAAAATGGAATAATCCTGTGGGGCTAGATACTAAGCTAGTGTAAACTGACAGCTCCATCGACTCCAGGTTAAGAACATAACCCATACTCTGCAAACTCTTGCGTCAATCTTGGTTCCAGTTTCAATTCAGTCCAGTGCGATTTCAAAAGTGATAGACGAGCTTAAGGCTTTGGGAGTTAGGGTAGAAAAGGACAGCACAACTAGCCACAACCTTAAAAACACACATACTGTTAAATGTCCTTCTTAGCCATATATATGATACAAATCTCACTCAGGTCACAGAAGATACTGAAAATCATTATTCTGAATCAAGTTACATAAAAGTGCAAAACAACAGTGGAAATCATAGAAGAAATGAGTAAATAAATGGACAGGAAAAAGAAATACTTTTAGGCATATGAGATTTTACTGTGAATTTTTTATCCACCTTCATATACTCTTGCTTAAAGAGCTGTCCTGTGATAAAAATGCTCAGTGCACCTTGACTCCACCTTTAGCCTTTCATTATCATCGTGGGATGGAGAAACAATGTTCTAGACTGATAACACATATGCAGTCATAATTAGCTAGCCATACACCTCAAAGAAATGCACCTTTCTATAGATAAAAAATGTTGCTCTAAAGCTAAAATTGTTGCTTTCCCCAATCACTGTAAATATAAATACTATTTCAGAGATATACTCCTGTATTTACTAGCCATTCTAACTAGCTCTGTGAAATCTGATCATTTCTGCTATGCTAATTGAAGACATAGTTTCAGTTCGTGCAGTTGTGCCACTCTACAGTTTCTTTTCAAAATTAAACATTATTCTGTTACGAAAACGTTCTCAGTATCTAAATTCAGTTTGTTGTCAAATGAATGCATATCTTGCAATAGCTGAAAGTTTCTGTATCACCCCACACTACATTCATACTGTTAACTTCAAATGTTCTTCCTCTTAAGGAGGTACAAACCTTTGTCCCAGCAATCCTAAAGAAATATCTTTCCAGAGTGTTACTTGAAAATGACAGTTCACATGTGAAGTCTCGTCTTACAAGTGATTTTAATGCATTAGAAAAGCAACAAAAACCTAAAAATAGAAATGCATTCTCAGCGCTTTCAAGGATGCTTGTACTGACATGCTCAATAAATGTCTCTTTTGTCTAAATTTGACAAGTGACTTCTCAAACCTATGCTACTCCATAGCTAAAATCAATAAAATTAGCTCTGTTACAGTTTATCATTTTAAGGCAAATGTTCCTTGTTGTTGCATTTCATTATCGGTACTTAGCCAAAGAGAAGACACGACTAAGATAATTTTGAAAATTAAAAGCAAAATGCTTTATAATTAGTCTTTTATTAATTTAGAGCATTCAAAATATAAAAATAAAAGGCTTTAAACATACTGTATATACATATATAGCCTTCGGTTTTACATCCTTTCCAACATGATTTTTTTTTTTTCAGTTAATAGCTCAGCCTGATCTTTGGTAAAAAAAGAACCATTAGAAAGCAGAAAAAACAGCACTGTTTTAGAAAACAAACCCATGAACGTGCCAGCCTAATCCCCCATCACTGCTGGTGTAATATGGGATTTCATTCAGTTTTACACTGGAGGTCTTCTGCACCGGGACCACGCAAACACAGTGGGGCTGTCACAGAAGGGAGTATTAAGCTTCACTGACTTCTTTGAAAACATTTGACACTCTGGGAATGGAGTGTAGGCTTTTCAGATTAAAAACTTAAATTCTGCAATCACATATACTGCATATTTCCCAAATTAATCCATTCGCCTCAGGGGATTCACTCGGGATTTATACCCCTGTACCTGCCAGCAGCAGCTGACCCTTGTTTATTTGATTTGATTTGATTTGATTTGATTTTTTAATTCTTTTTTTCTTCTTTGTTTATTGTAAAGTGGCTTAAAGTTGTGTGGTTAATAAGCTAATGTGTTGTGTTTCTCAGTTTACCCATGAGTATAAGCAGGAAAAAAAGTCCTTGGGCAAAGGAGTATTCTGTGTCATAGGTTTGTGTTTAAAAAAAAAAAAAAGTTACGAAAATTCACACCAAAAAAATCCATCACGGGCAGTTCACCAAGAGCCAAGGTCAGGTACCTTTGCTCACTCTGAGCAACACTTTCTGCACAGCCCCACTGACTCTCCACTCGGGGGTAAGGCATTATATACAGCAGGCAGATGCACAGAGCTGCACCTAAACAAACACAAAACAAAAACGGCTCATGATGGTGTATTCCCACGTGAGGAATAATTAACATCATGTCTTGTCCTTGCTTTATAAATTATGCTGATTTAGCTGAAAAGAAGATAATGCAAACAACTGATACAAGCTAAGGATCTGTCTATCTCCCAAAACACAGTAATGCCTCGTGGGAATCTCTGAAAAGATAAGTTTTATTCCAGAAATTACCTCTTGTTGCTCGGGAACATTTTGAAAACTTTTAACATAGGCACACTTTGTTACAGGCTTGTGAATTCTTGGAGCTCAGAAAATTGTGCTACGGAAAGCTTCTTTTTTTTTTTTTCTGGGTTTCGTTGGGTTTTTTTTTCCTTTGATGTACCTTGTTTATGCTGTACAGGTAACAATACTCAATAATTCTATAATCCAGTAAAACAACTAGGTTGAAAGCTAAAATCCTGTTGCCAACTTAATCATTTATTGACCTTTTTCTTATCTTTTTTCCCCTACATTTTATTTTCAGTGAAGAGCTTGTCTGGAATTAAACTGATTTCTTTTTCATGGTGTTAAGGGTCGTCTTATTTCAGCTACAACTGCACAGAGGCAGAATAACGTCCGTCACGTCACTAACAGTGTGACTGCGTGGAAATGCACTTGTGTGCCCGTTACCTTTAGTGGTTTCAAAGAAACGTTCTTTAAAAAGTGTTCTACTGCATAACAAGGGTTTCAGCATCTCGTTAAAGCTAAACAGCTGTCGAATGCCTTTGCTGTACTGAGGCTGAAGAATATGGGATCACATCCGAGATCAGATCTTTCTTTCCTTAGGGGCATAATACCATACCTGTGTTCTTTATAGAAATACTATTTCTTAAAGAAATCCTTTAACTATTTTTAATGCAAAAAGCAAAGGTGGCAGCAACCAGTTAAGTCCATCTGTATTTCAGTGGATACACTGTAAGCAACATTTGTACTGATTACTTAGATTATTACGAAAATTTCTCAGTGATGAAAGCTGGAAATCCACAAAAAGAGGACTGTATTTTAAGAGGGGACTGTATTTTACCTTCCCACTGAATGAATGTTTAATATGATATGCAGATAGAGCAGTATTTGAAGAATGAAGTATTCTCCTCTGCTTTAACTATCTCTAGTGTAATTTAGGTTATTGCACAACATTTTTAAAAAATACACAATATATTAATATTCTATGAAGGATATGAAATGTCACACCAGGCTTAATTACTTTTTTCTCCACGGTCATATTCTGAACATACCTACAGCATGTGGAAAGCATTCCGGAATAATAGTCAGAACTTTATTATTGCCCAAGGAAAACAAGTAAATTTTCAAAGATCAGAACGTTAGCTCTCTTGGGATTAAAGTTTAAAGCAAAATAACTGGCACAGAGTACTTGCCACTGAATACAGAAATGTAGAAAGGGATTTGTTAATATTAAATGATATCTGTGTTTGTAGCACCACCACCAGTATACCTAAAAGGGAAAAAAATGCTTCAGAACAACAATGTGAACTTTACCAAGAGCCATTATTTTACATTCATTAAAGCAGAAATGAAAGACAAAATCCTCTTAAAAAAATTACAATATAATCTTGGGGCTGAAAACGCTGGACACAAGTGAGCCAACAATGATGGTACAATTCTGTTTCTCAGTGGGTTTTTTGACTGTCCTGGCTTTGAAAACATCTCTGCACAGGTTGCTCGCTAATAGCATTTTTCTCTACAGTTTTCAGTTTTGTTCAGATATTTTCCACCCATTTCTGTTTGTACACTTGAACATGGATGTGGTGTTTCATGAATCTGGGAGGCTGGCTACAGCTGGGGAGAGTTACTTGGTTGGATTTCTGCCTTTGCATCTTCTGCTAAAGAAATAACTGTATTTCATGAGATGTTGAAGCCTCCACCGTAGGCACAAAAACACGATGAAAAAAAACCTTACCTAAACCTCATCACCCGAGGCTATCACCCCACCACACAAAGACACAGAAAATAGCTAGAAAGTCAACTTTTTAACTTAAAAAAAAAAAAAAAAGTAGAAATAAATGTACTGGAAGGTGAAAACAAATGTGTCAAAAGCCTATATTTACAAATGGATAAAAACACAAAGGTATTACTACTGCTTGATGATGGTGACATGACAGAAGAATCTGAGAGCCACATATTGCCTTGGTTCTATATTTGATTACCAAAACCCAACAAAATAATAACCAAAAAGTGATCTCTCAGAAGCGGTGGATTGTATAACCTCATCGATGAAAGGGTTGTTCTCTAGGCAATCAGCAAACACCTCCATTTAGCCGCCTTTGCTGATTCGAGGCATAGCAGAATTTTCTGTGGTGATTTTTCTTTATTGATTTTTTTACACAAATCTTAATAACAATTGCACATTTAGAAAGTCTGTGATGATTAAGAATAAATATGTGTGGTTTGACCAGGAGAGAGTGGGACAAGGCTCCACGAGCCCTTTGAGAGATGCAAGGTCTTTACTTAAAG